CCCCCCCCTGCCCAGCCTCTCATGCTCCCCCACCCCCCCCCCCCTCCAAGCCTGCAAAGAGCCACTCACCGGTTTGGGGCAGTGGATGTATCTGGCGAGGCTGATGATGAGGTCATGAGTGATGGGATCGACCAGATTCCGGAAGCTGGCGTAACGATACAGGACGTCATCCAGCGAGGTGGACTCCATGCCGAGGTCCTGCAATACGGGGAGACAAGAAGCCAAGGAGCCACGTTAGGTGGGCAGGCAGTAAAGAAGGGAGACAGTGTTGCCGACCAGGGCCCTTCCGGCAACTGCAGGGCACTGGGGGGGGGCACGGAAGGGCTGGAACGGGCACAGCCATGCCCACGCCCCTCCCCTCCCCCTGTTGCCCCCTTGATCCAGGCAGGGGAGATCTAGAAGGGCATGCAAACACACAGAGACCTCCCAGAGAGAACATCGCCAAGGGCCCAGATCAAGGCCAGATTGCTGGAATTGAGAGCACCCAGGAAAGAGAGACCGTGGGAGGCCAGGAGGGGCTCAACCAGACACACACACCGATACACACCCACACACACACCCTCCGTCCAGCAAAGAGACCACTAAGGCAGAGATGAACCTGTGGGCCATCAAAAGCTCCCACTGGCCAGGCGACAGCCGGAGCCTCTTGCTGACCAGATCCAGGTGCCCCCAGGGACATCCATCCCTGGCTAGTGTTGGTACCCTGGAGGAAGCCCCCCCTCAGTCAGTACCCTGGAGGAAGCCCCCCCAGTACCCTGGAGGAAGCCCCCCCCAGAGGAAGCCCCCCCCAGTCGCTGTTCCCCGTTGGAGCCCAGAAAATAATACAGGACTTGCTGCAGCTCAGGACGGGGTTGGTGTTTCCGATCGAGACATTTTTATCCCAGCGCTCCAGCCCAAGGAGACCAAAAGATGTCACGGCCCTTTGCCACCCCAGTGCCGGAGATGGCAAAAGCAAAGCTGACCGACTGCCTGGCCTCTCTGGGGAAGGACGGGGCCCCACCATAGCCCAGATGTCCTTCATGGTCCAGGAAGGTGAAGGGCAGGAACGGGGCAGAGCATTCACATGAGAGCCCGGCAAGGACCCTACGGCTCAGCCCACGGGGTCAGCCACCAGCTAGGGGTGGGGGCTTCCAACAGGAATGGCAAGAGCCTTGGAGGTGATCAGTTCCCACCCACCCCCAACCCCAGTAGCCCACTGGACCCAGGGTTCCCACTTGCTCCAGTCTGATCGGTTTCCATCACACTCTTTCTCCTTAGGCTGCCCTTTTATGCCCCATTGGTTGATCTATTTGATGGCGTTTTATATTTGCTCGGCTTCGTGACGTGATTCAACCCGAGACCCTGATTAAAGGGCACTGTCTAGATATGGAAAGTAAATCACCAAGAATGCCAAAGGAAAACCAAGGCCTTGAGAATCGGATGGGAGTCAGCCATCCTTCCGACAAAGGTAGGCTCTCCCTTCCCCGTCCCTCCTTCTATCCGGCCCCCACCTTGCTCCTTCTGGGGAAGGGACCCATGTCTGGTTTTTCACAACCAGGAGGGCTCCCCAGCCCAGCCCAGCTCCCTTCAAGACTTGATCTGGAAGCTTTTGCCCACCATGGGGCCAGCTTGCCTTGCCTGCCCCCCCACCCCAAATGGGCAGGGCTGAACTCATTTGGTCCTATTTAGCCTGGCCACAACACCTTTGGGCTGGGGGCGGCCTCTCTGGCAGAATGGCCAGGAACAGGCTGCCTCCCTCCACCGACCGTGGCCAAGCCCAACCGAGACTGGGAAACCTCCCTCTATGAGGAGTGGGATAAAAGAGAAGCCGGTGGGTCAGAAAGAAGGCTGCTCCGAGCCCCTGCGAGCCCTTCTGACTCTCTCTCTCTTGCCACAGTCCTTCTAGAGCGTCAAGGGCTGGACGCATGGAGTATTCGGGATTATTCAGCACCCCCACCCACTGATAGTTCTCTCCCCACTCCTGAACATGCACGGAGTACAAAGCCAGGAGGGGAAGCCAAGGGCATCTCTCAGCCAAAGGATGAGGTCATCTTCTCATCCCACCCACCCTTTCTGCCCATCCTGGCCAACCTTCTCTCTGTCTCTGTCTCTCTCTGTCTCTCCAACGCTGGGAAAGAGGAGGAGAGACAAAGCAAACCTGACCGGAATGGGTGATTTCCGTTCTCGCTGTACAGGCAGGGCTGTCTCTGTTCAGAGCGAGGAGGATGGAGACGAGACAGAAAGAGAGACCAAGCCACAGTCCGCTTCCCAAAGAATGCGAAGGCCACTGGTTTGCACGGAGGAAGATTTCAGCCCCCCCAGAACCTCTCCTTGTCTGCAAGCCATCTTCGACATCTATGGGGAAAGTGTTCCTGATCTTGGGGTGTGTGTGGAGAGGGTCTCCCTAAGAATCAAAAGGTTACCTTCTTTCCCACTGTTTAAAAGCATCTTTCTCATTACACCTCGAGAGACCCACGATCCATGCAAGGCATGGACCCTGCCAGAACACCCCATCTTGGGTTGTGGGGGGGATCAACCTTCAAGCCCCTTGGATTGTTTGACCAAACTCTCGCTGCAGCTCCCAACTGGAGGCATCTGAAACAGAAGGTCTTCTCCAGTCATGGACACCCACCTCACCCCTACCCTCTTGAGAAGGTCAACATGAAATGCTCTGGAGACCTTGATTTTAAACCTCTTCCGGGGGGTAACAGCACCCCACAAATGGACCTCCTGCCAGCAGGACACGGATGGCACAAAAGGTGGGGGGGCCAAACTCCGAAAACCCAGACTTGCCACGGCTCCTGGTTCTTGTGCAAGACCTACAAGCAGCCGGTTCCTCCACCCCAAAACACACGCACACTGTCCCCCTTAGTTATATTTCTCCAAGCCAGCACACCTTCAATGTCCTGTTAAATTTCCAGAGAGAAATCATTGCAGGAGGAAAGGAAGTGACATTTATCTTTGCTCCATCAGATGCCAGCGGAAGCCCCTGGCTGAGACACAAAGGTTTCCTACCTGTGGTTCTTTTACTAGTTGTATTGATCTCCATCTTACTTCCTCCTCCCAAACATTGGAACTCAAGGGGACAAACACCAGACAGATTAGTTTAAAACGTACAGAATCTTTTAAAGGGACTTTGAATACTCTGCAGGAATTTAGCTGGACTGCCAAAGGGTTGGCTTGAATAAAGACGGCTTTGCTGCCTGCAGGAGAACAGAAGGGGGGGGGGGCACGCATGCACGCACACACACACACCTCAAAGTCTAGGCATAGTTTTGTAGGAGAACTCAATCCTTCTAACCACTGAACTCTTTTTGAGCTCTGTAAGCCATTGTTTGGAATAGATAAGAGACGGGCAGCCTTTTTCCATCTATGGAAGCTTCAAGTTCTTGAGATGTTCTTCAGAAGTGAAACTCTGCAAAACCCCACATTCCTGCACAGACCAGACATTTCTGCACACCAGCTTTAACGGCCAAGCCACCAAACCATGAGGATTCGGTATGCCGGGACCAGAAATGGACGTTACCCCGAAGAACCCTATGGATCATCAAGCCCAACTCTTCTCGGGGAGGGCACGGCGGGGAATCGAACTCCCATCCTCTGCCGGAGACCTTACCCACTGAGCTATCCAGCAGTTCAAAGGGCCAAAGGTCATTTTTGACCAGAAGGATGCTTCCGATCCACCAACTAAAGTCAGGAGGTCGGTAGCAGAGGTTAGACAAGCGGACAAAAGATAAAAATTAAGGTCCGGCTCTTTGTAACTCTTGTGTGCTTTGGAACGTTTTGTGCATCTCAGCCTGCAAGGACCGCCCTGTATCTTGGAGCGTTGAGAAGACCCTAACCCTGCCAAAAGCCTCAACGAGCGGAGTTGTGATCACACCACAGCCTGAAACAAGCAGGCGCTGCACCCACTGGGAGGACACCCTGGGCATCTCTGCTTGGGGGCTGGGCTGGTTGCTTCCAATCATCCTTAGCTGGGACAGCCACTGGGGGAGGGGTCACCTCCATCATTCAAAGCATTAAAGGAACGGGCACTGCCTCTTCCGCCCCGCCAAAAGGGCCATGCCCACCCTGCAGCTGTGTACAAAATAATGCAAATAGGAGCATCTGCAACGCTCCATCGGAAGTGTCTGACTAAGCAAATCCCGGAGGAGACCCACTGCAGACCCCTGGTGTGTGTGTGGGAGGGGGGGGAGATGGTAAGCCCTCCATGTGCACAAACTGGAATTCTTCTCAATGCCAAGTCAGCCTCTCCCCTCTAAGGCAAGGCTGCCCCACATGACAGCTCCCCAACGTTCTTTCCCCCCAGGGAACGATGGCCCTGCTGTGTTGCTGCAGACGGATCTGGAAAAAGCCGCTGAGGATTCAGAGGTTGATCCCTACTGCGCACGGAGGGGGGGGCGCTGGGCTGACCACCCCCTTCCCCTTTAGCGGCGGAGAGGAAGAGAAGAAGAAAGCTGGAAGCCGGGGGGGGGCAAGGATTCCTCCGGCTGTGCCATCCTCCCACCCCCACCCCAGAGAAAAGCTATGCCACTTCCAGGAGAAAAAAAGCACATTCTCTTCTCCGGAAGGCTGAGGAAAAATTACAAGCAAGGCAGGAGGGGGGGGGGTTCCAGCTGCCACTGGACTGCAACACAGCCTCTCTCCCTGTGAGTTTGCACGTCCTGGACCCAGAGGCTGGGTTTGGCCTGTTAAGGCCAGCAGAAAACCAGGCTGCGAAGGATGATCCATCACTCTGAACCCCCAAAAGTGGCTTCAACAGCTGGATGCCTGCCAAGCCTTCCACGATGTGCCGGGGAGCGGGGGAGGGGCGAAGAAGGATGTACCTGCTTAACTGAGATCTCCTTGTGAGAAATTCACTGTGTCTCCCCTTCTAAGCCAAAATTCAGCTTCCAGAAGGCACACCCTTCCCCCCCCCCATGCCATGCCCTGGCGGTTCACCTGCAAAAAACCCCACGGGCTCCCTCGCATGCCTCAAGGTGGAAGAAGACCCCCCCCCCGAAGAACCTTTCCATCCAAGCAGAGGGCTTCTGTGCTCCCCAATGCCCCAGCCTTCCACGATGTGCCGGGGAGCGGGGGAGGGGCGAAGAAGGATGTACCTGCTTAACTGAGATCTCCTTGTGAGAAATTCACTGTGTCTCCCCTTCTAAGCCAAAACTCAGCTTCCAGAAGGCACACCCTTCCCCCCCCCGATGCCATGCCCTGGCGGTTCACCAGCAAAAAACCCCACGGGCACCCAGTCTAGCTCCCTCGCATGCTTCAAGGTGGAAGAAGACCCCCCCCCAAGAAGAACCTTTCTATCCAAGCAGAGGGCTTCTGTGCTACCAAATGCACCCAATGGCTGTGCCGAATTTTGGAAGCAAGCCACGTGTGGCCTTGAAGACAAGAGTCGCCCCTCTTTTTTTTTACATTTCCACCTTGCCTGCGTTGAAGGAGCGTCCTTTCCTCGGGTTTTCCAATGCAACAGGCTTGCCAAGGGGCACATCAGCCTCCCAGATAACAAAGTGGGGGGGGGAGAGAGAAGCATCGCCAGAGCTTTTAAAGCTTTCCCATTAGACCAGGGTACCAAGAGGGAACATGCCAGGGGTGCCCCAGTGTCTAGGCAGCCTGGAAAACAGGGCCTGCCAGAGCAGGCTTGGTGACAGCCTAGTGCCCACACGCCACGGGCCTTCCTTCCCTCTGCTGGGCACCAGGCTCTCCCCAAGCGAAACTAGAAAGTGGGAATCTCAGTGCCACAGGCTCCGTCGTGACCCCCCCCACCTGAATGACGAGCTGGTTCAGAAAGAAGCTCTTTTGCATGCCAAGCCGGTGCCCGCCTCCCCCCCCTTCAGATCCTGCTCCTCTTCCTCATGGGTCAGAGTCCAAGGAATGGAAAAAGCACCAGCCTGGCCAACCGCCAAAGTCACTCAGGAGACTCTGCCAAACAGGACCTTCCACCTCGCCAGCAGCGCCGGGAGCCCTTTTTTTTAGGAGGGGGGGTGCTGAACGTAGGTGTGAGAGAGAGTGTAACGTGATGCTCATAAAATGGGTTCACACCTTGGTAGCAAAAGGTGCCCGCTCTGGCAAAGGGCAGGGGCTGCTTCCCTGCCCACTCACCTTGCCAGCCGGCCCTCCAGGGCCAGGAGATACAGAGATTGGCTACCCATTTCCACCAACTTCCCTTCCCAAAGGTTTCCTCTGAAGTACAACACACCGCTTGCCACTTCTGTAGACTCTGGCGCATGGAATTTGGCCGTCTCGCCAAAGGGTGCGTGAGTTTAGTCTGAAGGCAACCAAGCAGGCCCAGTGATTTCCCTCAGTGGCTCTTTGCTGAGCAACTGCACGCATGAGAAACACACACACACCCCACTTAGCCGTCCTCTTCCGTCAGCCAGGAAGGGTGCCAAGAGCTCTCCGGGACGCCTAGCCAAGCCGGGCTCCCTTGCTTCCCTTTAATCAAGTCTTAGCCAACGCAACTCAATTGTTATTTGGACTCATTGTACAGCGGATTGGAATACATCTGCTCGCCGGCACGATACAGACGCACGCACCAAGAGGTCGCTGGGTTCGTCTCCGCACACCTGGCATAAGGTTCCAGACACTTGGTCCCTGAGCCACAGCAGAGATCACCTTCTAAAATCTCTCACAAACACACACCAGTGACATACACTCTCTTTCCCCTTCCCCACATGGCTTACATATGAACTCCAGCACAATTCTCACACACTGTGAGAATCTGACATGTGTGTGACGTGCTGATCCACCTCTCCTGACAACAGACACCGCACAACATCCGAAGCCATGATTCCATCATGGCTTATGAACTCTACTCTGTTTAAACTGTGGTTTGTTTGTCACGTCTGAAGCCTTCCCTCCTTTGACTTTATCCTGTCTGACTTTGCCAGCTGCTCAACTACCCTGAAGCGGGTGCTGACGAAAGGAGCCAAAAGGAAATGAAAAGGGAAGTGAGGAAAACAAGCCACTCTTTACACTTTGTGGCTTAAGCAGCAGGCCATGAATCATGGTTTACTGTGATGTGCAATACCCCCCCCGGGCTCTCCCTCCCTCAAGGTAGGTTGACCCAGTTTCCATACTTTCTACTTATGCCCTAACCTTTATAAAAATCCCAAGAGAGCTAAACGTAACACATAAACATCCAGTTAAACCAGTAAACACTCAGCAGAACCATTCAAAGCTGCAAGAAGAAATAACTGCCCATAAATGGTCAAGAAAACCAAGTTTTTTTTTGGGGGGGGTCTTCAGCTACCTGGATCCAAAGACCACTTGGACTTTATAGGCTGCACCAGCCCTAAATTTGGCATGGAAACTGGCAAGGAGCCCATGAGGCTCCTTAAGGGTGGGGGCCCGAGGTGGGTCCCACCCCATTTTGCACTAACTCAGATTTCTGGATCCCTTCCAGGGACAGGCTCATAGGGCTCCTAAGTCAGCCCCCCCCCCGAATCTTACCTGGGGCTTTCTTCCCCCCTCCCCATCCTTTTGCCTCCACTGTCAGATGGGGGGAAATCCCGTTCTCTTTGGGAACCCCCTTCCACCCAGCAACAGACAGGAGTCAACCAAGTGTGTGGGGGAGAAGCACGTCCCAGTTTTCAGCACGAAAGGGGACAGACAGTGACTACCTGCTTCCACATGGAGGAAGGGGGGGGAGAGAATCCAGAAGGGCCTAGAGAAATCCCGGAAAAATAAAGCTTGTGGGGGAGGGAGAAGAGGGGCTTGAGCAAAAAGCAGCCCCCATGTCTTTGCAATCTCTTCTCTGCCGCCGCCCCTCCAATATTTGACACACCTGAGCCAGCCCTCTTCATCCGAGATTCACCTGTGTCCAGGTATTACAGAACAGGGCGTGACAGAGGAAAGATGCTCAGGGTGACAACCGGCAGCAGGTGGAGTGGGGGGGGCAAAGTCCCCTCCCTCGACCGGGGGAGGGGGGGTCACGGCCTCCTTTGCACCCCAAATTGGTTCCCCCACAAGACATGTTCAGCGGAGGATCGGGGTTCATCCTTGGACGGGGCGAACCCATGATCGAGGCCAGCCAGAGCCCCCCCCCGGAGTTGCCACCGAATCGGTGCCGGGCGCCGCCAGAGAGGAGGGGGCCCGGGGAACGGGGACCCCCCCTCAATTCCTCTCCCTCCAGGCAGCAGGCAGCACCCCCGGGAAGGATCCGGCCCTCCTTCCACTCGCCCCCCCCACCTTCCGCTCCGGGCTTTTGCAGGGGCTCCGTCTAGACGCGACGCTCCCACCTGGAGGGAATTAACGGCGGGAGGGGCGGGGAGGGGCACACGGCGGACCCGATCCTACACCAGCCCTGCGCCCAGCGCAGG